TTTTAGCTTTGAATTTTGTTTAGTTTTCCTTTGAATGGGTATTTAATTAATAGTGTTGATTATTAAATAGAGCTTAATATAATTGGGTAGGTTAATTTAGGTTTTTAGAGTTAATTTTGGTTTTTAGTTTTAATTTTAAAAGAAAAAGAAAAGAAAAAAAAAGAGAGATTCAGATTTTTGGGCTTCTTTATTCATTTTGCCAAGCCCAAGTCATCTAGCACCCATGACCCAACCAGGCCCAAACCACTCCTTCTCCGAAAATCTGCCCAAAAACCGGGTCCAACCCAGTCCCTCTTGATGTCCAAACGACGCCGTTTCATTGAAGATCCATCCTAGCCATCGAGGTCTCTTGATCCAACGGTTCGGAAGTGGGTGTCACTTGGTATAAAATTGTCCGAACCCCGACCCCCCTACCCCCTCGTCTCCTCTTTCACGAACCCCTTTCCCAAAACCCTAGCCGCCACAGCCCCCTCCATCGTCTCCACCGTCTGCCGCCGCCGGAAATCGCCCACGGCGACGGCGAGTCACCAAACACCCCCAAATTTACACCATGGACCCCCATCACCCTCCCCATTCCGAATCCATAATTAGTTTCCCTCGAATCCCACCCAAAACCTTCGAATCTGTGAAACCCTAGCAGCCGCCACGAGTCTTCATCACCATCTGGTGGCGGCATCCCTTCAAACACCACTTAAAACTCCATCAGACAACTTCCCTTCACTTCATATACCCCTATACTTCACCCTTTATTTCGAGTTTAAATTTTGTTCCTCCGCGAAGCTTCAAATCGATTTTGGGTTTAAAATAAGTGTTGGACATTTGCTCTCATGGGAGCAAAACGACTAACACTCATTTTTGCCTCAAATCGGAATCAAAAGAGGTCCAGGCAGGGCATCGTCCCGTGATCAGTTCATTAGGTAGTTTCTCTACTCTTCGTTGTTTCTTTTTCTTTTCTCTTAATTCTCTTTTGTTCGTAATCATCTCCTCCCTCATTAATTCTCTTAATTTTCAGTTCTTTTCTAAAAATACTGGTTGATAGGCGCTGTAGGTTAAAATTTGAGTATTAAATAACCTTCAGTATTTTTAATATGTTTCGATTTTGTATTTTTGTTCTGTTTGTTTCTTCAGTATTGTGATTCCATTTTGGCTCGTTTCTATGCATTGCTAATATAACTGAAATAATGCCCAAAAGTTGTTGGTATTTGCCAATGTAATAGCCCAAGGATCATGGGTCAATCTGAATCAGTGGTTAGCTAAAGTAATTTCAGGGTGGTTAAAAGGGGTATTTTGGGTAAACAAGGTGGGGAATCTTTTGGGTACTGAATTGAGAAGCCTCTAGAAGCTTCTAGGTTGGGGACTTGAATGGCAATGTCTGGTTTTAATAGCACTTACTTGGGTAGGAAGGCAGGAATTTAGGGGTAACTCAGTTAAAATAAAAATTCAAAAGGGGGCAAAGGATAAAAAATAAGGTCTGAAGTTTGCCCTAATGACTTGCCTATAAAGGCATTGATATACTTGCCTTGCAAGTCATTCGAAAAAGGGGGGGGGGGAGCTGAAAAATCCAGGAACGATAAAAGCTGCATAGATTACTGTTTTCAAAGAGTTTGAGTCTAAAAAAAATCAGAAAAATACAAAAATACTACTGTTCCATTGAAATCTTTGAGTGTATTCCTGGAGTCTCTATAGTTCTGAAACATCTTTCGTTAACCAAAATCACGCTGGTTTGAAATCAATTTTAGTTTGAAGTTTGCTGGGAATCTGTTGATCCAAGCTGGTTTTTAGTCGATCATACTTTAGTTTGGTTTATATTGGTGCTGATTCCTGAAAAACTGGGTTCATTTGCTGAGTTTGCTGGCTGCTCTCCCTGTCTGCAGAATCTCATCTTCTTTATTTCATTGTTATTTCCAGGTACACACTTGTATTCTATCTCATGTGAAGCTCGGATCTGTGATGAATGAAGATGAAAATTTAGTTCAATCATGTGTTTAGCTATCTTGTCTTCATAATTATGAGTTTATAATTTAGTTGTCATATTGATGAATTTGAACTTAGATTGGGACAATATGTTGTAGTTCCAGCTTTCATTTAACTCTATTTTATATATAAGTTCAGCATGGTCAAATAGGTTTCATACAAACATGCGTATCCTTGTTACTTTATCCCCTCGATTAATTAGCTGACCTGCGCTTCTGTTCGTGTGTATCAATCAATGATGTACCATGAACATTCGAAGCTCATCTTGGAGGCTACATCTGTTGACATATTCACCTGTTAATGGCATGGTTCGTTTACTGGTATTTCTCATTTTTTTAAGCTTGATGATGGAGGAGTAAGCTTCAATGTAGGAATTTAAAAGTATGGGGGGTCACAGGCCACTTGTAGCTTTCATATAGCGATAGGTTAATTCTGATTATGATCTGAACAACAGTGTCTAGTATCACAAATGGTTCAATGGTACATTTTCGGTCATTGTTGAGTTTAAAGCAATTGTATCTGCCAGTTCGAAATTCAGCAATCCACGTTCACTTGGGCTCTCATTTGGGCCAGTGCTATTTGGCCTAAGGATTACTCGTCCTGGATGGCTTTGCACCTTACAATTGTTGGGCTTCACGCTTAGCTCAAGCACTTTAAACCTTGAACTCTTTCTTAAATTAACTTAGGCAGTAGTATAATTTTGGTTCTTTAATTGTTCAAGTAGTCAAACTTCTTAAGTATATCGGAGACGTGCTATATTAGGCCCAAGACTGAATTGATAACCAATCCATTAAATAATTGAAACATTGTAGGCCTGGGCCTTTCAAGTTATGTNGTGATGTGAGAAGTAATTATGCATGAAGACTTGGTCTTAAGGATTGGGCTAGAAGCTGGCCCAATTATTGAAATCAGATGGCCAGGTTTATTGTGAGGTGTTCAGCTTATTAGCAAAAGTTGGGATCGCTTTGACTCCCATATAATTAGATGTTTCATGTGCTGGGAGACTCGATCTCGAGTCCAACACTTGGTAGTGCTCAGACTCCAAACTCGGAGTTCACGTTGGGCCTGGGATGCAAGCCCGCCGTTTTCTTTCACCTTGTTAGTTCTTTCTATAGGTAAGGCCCAACTGTTTGGGCCCAGGATCTTTGCATAATAATATAGTTCACAATACAGGTTTATTGGTTTTAACTCGGTCCATCGTTTAGCTTAAAAATTGGTGACAACCTGTCTTGCTCTTTTAATTAATCAATTAAGGTATGCTATATCCGATATCAATTGTGGCCCTCCGGATGTAGTCGAATTAATCCTTTAGTTTAAGAATCGGAGGGGTGCTATTAGGCCCAAGACTGAATTGATAACCAATCCATTAAACAATTGAAACATTGTAGGCATGGGCCTCTCAAGTAGCGGATTCGAGCTAAGGGTTTCTTCAGTAACGGAGATCGCCTTGTTCGGGTTCGGACTTGGAGCTTGGGGCCCGAATTTCCTTGAATACCATAATGTTAATTAATTCATAATGTTAATAAATTAAGTTTTTTTAGAGACAATTCTTATAGATAATGCTAGTTCGTCTTTAGGTTGTCCTTTAAGAACGAATTGAGGTGCGCCGTGCCAAATAAAATCACAAATTGCGTGGCCCTCTTTAATTGCTTTATTAAAAATATTTTAGAAATTCGGGACGTGCCATTTAGCGAATTTTCATGGCCTCCCGCAAAGTTAACAAGACGCTAGCCACTTTAGGCGCGCTTTTTAATAATTTTACCTTCTTAACTACGGGTGTGCATTTCATGTGACCCAAATCCAAATCCCAAAACGTTGAATAAGAGGTGTCGAGGATCCGGGTGCATTTCATGTGACGTGATCCAAAAACACGCTCTTAAACGACGTTCACTCTCATAAAAACTAATTAAAAGCGGTTAAACAATTCTAAAATTGCACTATAGGTTTAACATGTATTAAAATCAGACTTTAACCAAATATAGCAGTTGAGCGACCGTGCTAGAACCACGGAACTCGGGAGAGCCTAACCCCTTCTCCCGGGTTAACAGAATTCCTTACTCCGATTTCTGGTTCGCGACTGTTAAACAGAGTCAATCTTTCCTCGATTCGGGATTTGAACTGGTGACTTGGGACACTATAAATCTCCCAAGTGGCGACTCTGAATTCTTTAAATAAATAAATCCCGTTTCAATTGTCCTTTAATTAGAAAAAGTCCTTTTATTATACCCTTCACGGGGTGTAGTAGCGAAAAAGGAGGTGTGACAACTCTGGCGACTCTGCTGGGGACAGAACCCAGAATTTCGGTTCAGGGTTCGAGAATTCAAGCTCAGTTAAATTGTTATATTTGGCTTTATCTGATTTTTCTACATGTTCCATGCTATGTGCTAAATGTTTTACCGCTTTGATATTTGTTAAATTGTATATAAACTGTCGCGAATCCCTTCCTCTTTCTGAGTCTTCTACATCATGGAGAAGGGTGCACTTCGTGTAGCTTCTCTTCCGTTTAGAGTCTTTTCCCATTTAGAACGAGGTTTGGATAAGTTGCAAAGCCGGCGGAGCTTCTGTATCCCCGGTACGCTACCTCCCCCTCGGCTCGAGTTGTCCGCTCGGGTAACCAGGTCTAGACCAATAAACCTAGGGTTTAAAACCTAGAAGAACAAAACCCCATGCCGGATCCCTAGTAGGACGCTTGTTTGCATCATANTTCTTCCTCTCCCTGTACTGCTCCACCAATCTCCTCACCAGATGAAAGATTTTCGTCTTCGATCCCCCGGCATGAATCCAAATTGGTTCTCAAAAATGGACACACTCCTTCTCAGCCAGGTCTCCACCATCTTCTTCCAAACCTTCATAATATGGTTTAGCAACTTGATGCCTCTATAGTTGTTATAATTTTAAATATCACCCTTGTTCTTGTATAACTGGACCATTGTACTCCACCTCTATTATTTGGGTATCATCGCCGTGCTAAAAATGACATTAAACAATCTGGTCAACCACTCCAAACCTGACCTACCCGCGCTTTTTTAAAATTCCACCGGAATCTCGCCTGGCCTAGTCGCTTTTCCCCTACCCATCTTGCGCATAGCCTCCCCCACCTCCTTGACCTTAATAAGCCTACAATACCCAAAGTCACGACGACTCTCGGAGTGCTCCAAATCACCTAGCACAATAGTCATATCTCCCTCTTCATTCAAGGGTTTATGGAAGTATGCCCGCCATCTTCTTCTAATATGTGCCTCCTCCAATAGCATTTTACCTTCCTCGTCTTCGATGCACTTCACTTGGTCCAAGTCACGAGCCTTCTTCTCTCTCGCCCTAGCTAGACTGTACAACTTCTTATCCTTGTCTTTGTCCCTGAGTTCTTTATACAAGCATTTGAGCGCTACTGTCTTAGCCGTTGTTACCGCTAACTTTGCCTCATTCTTCGCGGTCTTGTACCTCTCCCGATTCGCGCTCCTCTTTTACTCATCTTTACTCTCCGTTACCTTCAAATATGCCGTCTTCTTCGCCTCCACTTTCATCTGCACCTCCTCATTCCACCACTAGTCCTTTTTGTACCCGTCACGGTAATCCTTCGAGACCTCTAACACCTCTCTAGCTACTTCTCTAATGCAGTCCGCGGTCCTAGCCCATATACTACTCGCAGTACGATGATTTAAAACATAATACTTATTAAATTTTTAGCAATTGTGCAAATATATCAAAACATGGTAAAAATTGTTGGATTCAATTAAACCCGTAGCTTGATAGCTATATTTGCCCCTGCGTGCTTAGCCAACGAAGGAATGTATGAAGCTGATAAAGGTTAAATGAAGACTCCATAGACATGTATACAAAAATAGAAAGAATTTTAGCCTATAAAATTCTAGACTACAATCAAGTCTCTTCTATTTTGAATCTCACTTTCCTTGTTGATTGACAAATTGCGAAAAATCATCTATTCCAGTAGCCATAGCATTTGCAGTGCCACTGTTCCTTGTCGCAAATTCACCCTCTTTTTTTGTTTTTGATTCCACACGGGTCATATTAATTCTTGTTTATAAAATTCTATCGAATTAGTATTACTTTGTGCTAGACTTAATTTTACTTATATTATTTAATTGTTTATAAATTTTATAGGATTTTCATGACTTTAAAGGAAATAAAATTGTTACAAGACCTTCATTTCCAGGATTCTCAGGTGCTAGAGGCTCGTACTCAACAGATAAGTCGGCTACTCCAAGAAAAGGGCCAAATCAGGGAAAGAATCAGAAACATTGCCAACTACATTGTCATGAAGTGCCAGGCTGGTGAACGGATGGGTCGTACCACGTTCTTTGCCTCCGTGATGATATTTGTTCGCCAGGTCATGAATGATCTGGATCAATTGCAAAAGGGTCTCGCACGCAGGCCCGCGGCGATGCCGAGAGATGCCCTGCGGGCCCCAGGATTTGAAGCTTTGATGTATTCTTAGATAATCGAGTCTGTATTTACGCTTTTGAGTCTGGTTTTTGTACTTTCCTTTTCCGAGAAAAGAAAAACAAATAGTCTAATAGATTTGTAATCGCAGTTGTTATTAATGAAATTTGAAAATTCCCGAAAATTGTTTCATTTATTTTTGCATTTATTTGCAAGAACTACGCTCGGTCTGATTCACGCGGGGTTGTGATACGTAGGCAATCTCCATAGGATTCGACCGTAACTAAATGAAAAGGTGAAAAACAAGAAAGGAAAGAAAAACAAAAAAAAATAGGAAACCAAATAAAAGCAAACAAGAGAAAATAAAAAGGAGCAAAGGAAAGAAAAGAGCGGAAAAACAATTTTGAGGAAAGGAGCGAATAGGAACAAAGAAAACCAAGGTAAAAGTGAAAAGAGAGAAAAGAAAAAGAAGAAAGAGAAAGGAGAAGAGAAAGTTTGCAATTGGCAAATAAAGAAAACGAAAAGCCGGGATGACGCATGCGACTGAGCAAAGGCATAATAGAAATGGTGAACTGCTTAGGTGCATTCACTCCTCAATGTGCGGTTATCTATATGTTAATGCCCTAACCGCTAACAAAGTTGTTGTTGATGAGTCCAGGAAAGTGGTTAAGTTGACTGGCATTCTGGCAACCCATCCCTACAACACCCGCTCTAAGGATAAGTCAAACATGGTCAACCAGGAATTGGAAGCAAGCATTGTCGACCCATCTAGGGAGGAGGAAGTAGTGGACGTTAATGCAATGAAGGAGGAGATATATAAACTGAAGCAACAAATGGCCGAGATGTACCGGGCCTGGTCGAAGGGACATCCACCACCAGCCAATCCTGCTAATCCCACCTACCTCCCACCACTAGCTCAGCCTCAAGATCCTCCCACAGTGAACTCATCTCCTGCTTTCCCTACTTATCAGCAGTACTACGGAACCACCTCTCAAACACCACCACCTCCACTACCCAAACAAATTCCATGCCCTCCACCACCAACTACTCCTGTGTTCGTGGGTCCCCCACCTGTCGCACTACACAGGTCTTCTAGCGAACCTTTGTTCCAAACCCATGATAACCAGTATTACCCACCCGAAGCCACTTTCAAACCGCCAGAGCCATGCCCTTACACTCCTCGTCTTGATCTCTCAGCTGAGGAAGAAAAGCCTCCCAAAAACCCTGAGCGAGAGGAAATGATACGGAAGGTTAAGAGCTTAGAACAGTCATTCCGAAATATGCAGGGGCTCGGAGGACAAGTGAGTGTAGCCTACAAGGACCTGTGCCTGTTTCCTGATGTCCAGTTGCCAGCAGGATTCAAGCTGCCCAAGTTTGACCTATATGATGGCCATGGTGATCCGGTGGCCCACTTAAGGGGGTTCTGCAACAAGATGAGAGGAGCTGGAGGAAGGGATGAGTTATTGATGGCTTACTTTAGTCAAAGTCTAAGTGGAGCAGCTTTGGAGTGGTACACACGACAGGATCATGCTCGATGGTACACTTGGGACGACCTGGCCCAAGCATTTGCATGTCATTTTCAGTACAATCTCGAAATTGTCCCGGACCGTCTGTCACTAACTAAAATTGAGAAGAAGCCCGGAGAAAGCTTCAGAGAGTATGGTTTTCGGTGGAGGGAGCAGGCGGCAAGAGTCGATCCTCCAATGAAAGAGAACGAGATGGTTGATTATTTCCTACAGGCTTTGGAGCCAACCTATTATGGTCATCTGGTGTCAGCAGTGGGAAAAACTTTCAACGAGGTCGTGAAAATGGGAAGTATGGTGGAAGAGGGTCTCAAGTCCAACAAAATTATGAGCTATTCAGCAATCAAAGCAACTACTCAGGCTATTCAGAGCGGCACTGGAGGAGTATTGGGAAAGAAGAAGAAAGAAGAGGTTGTAGTAGTGGAATCGAGAGCCTGGTCCAGAGGTCCATCACCATATTATCACCAACCTCGCCCTCACCCCCAAACCTACCCACACACACCATATGGCCCACTGCAGCACTATTACCCGCCTCTTGTCCCCAATTTCTCTGTCCACCATGCCCAAACATATCCCCAACCTCCTACCCATGCACAATGGCGTACACCCACCCCACAAAATACTTACTCAGCTCAAAACANATCAATAGTTGACTCCAAACTGCTCCTTAGCCTTCCTTACACCTATATCACCTGCAAATCATGAAAAGTACCAATAAGAGCATTTTGTTGTCATTTTTCCACATTAAAGTTCACAAGAAGGTGGTTATTCGGTGCGTGATTATAGTCAAATTCACCTATTATCATATATATATATATATATATATATATATATATATATATATATATATATAATAAAAAGAATAGAAGGGAACACGTCCTCACAACAAGATTGACCATTATATGGAAGATAAAATCTGAAAGTATTTACAATAAAAATGACGAGCGCAAAACCAACGTGTAAAGTTGAAGCTCGCTAGTCAATGATAATATAGATTAGTCGTCTCCATAGGGATTGAATTTAAACAATGTTCAATTAATTTCTAGCTTAAACGCTATCCATGATGATTAACACTCTGATTGGAATGATTATGAAATAAAATTACCTATTAAAACTAAAGCAATTAACAATTGACACTGAGAGACAAGAGTTGAGCAACACAGAAATAATCAATGGGAGAAATAATGATCATGACATGATAGGTGCAAGATAGCTATGTGGAATATCTCTAGTTCAATTCACTATAATGTTCTAATGATTCTCACGAATTCACTCGACAATTAGTTTAATCGTATAGCCCAGACTCCTCTCTCAATTAAATTTGAACTCTACGAGGTGAACTAATATACAACATTGTGAAGGTATGCAAGAATACGTTAGTGGACTAGTCGTTTAGGAAAACGCCTCTCAAATATTCTCCTAACTTGATTAATCAACAATTTAACAAGCTCTTTCTATTACTTAAAAGAATCACTAAATTAAACCAGACGAAATAATCCAAAGATAGTCACCCAAAATATTTCTCTTTTGATTAAACAATTTGGTAAACAAAATTGCAATCAATCAAAGCTCCATAAACGAATTCATGCAAAATAACTAGAGTTAAAATCCACAAATATCAATCAAAATACCATATCCATAGAACACTAAAGTAAACTTCTTATAATCTGAAGAAAATCATCACAAATAGAGTTAAAGAATAAGAAAACAAGAATTCAATCCAAACTCGAGTGGTAAATTCAAGAAAGAATGATGAATCCTTGTGCCTTGGAGTCTCCAATACTCTCCCAATCTTCCATAGGTCAAAAGTCCCTTCAAAAGCGTATTTTCAGTGTATTTATTCCAAGTAGGAATAGGTCCGGACGAAACTACCCTCTCTGAACCTAAATAAATAAAAGTTGGGAATTATTTTGTACTAGTGCGCTGCCCCAATGCGCACATGGGGTTTTTCAGAGAGCTATTTTTTTTACTCTGCAGGAACTTTGCACCAGCGCCCCGTGCTCCGCAATGCGGTAGTGCATTTTTCTCAGAGTAGAAATTTTTTAATTTTTGACATCCAGACTTGGTCCTCGACCGCCGAACGCGATCCCTGTTTAATCCCTTGGGCTTTTACTCAGACTTCAAAGCTCCCAATCATCCAACTTAGCTTCGAAATTGCTCCTTACGCAATGTCACCTCCTACAAAGCATAATACACGTAATAAGTATAAAGTACTAGTAATTAGGCTCAAATACAATCAAAACATAATAATTAGAGTGCAAAATATAGTTAAATGTAGTTCCTAGCCTACCATCAACACCTCACACTTAAACTATTGTGCAACCCCGAGCAATCAAACTACACTTCAAATAGAGACGACCTTTTCAATCAACTCTCCGAACTCATCATGCCAAGAATAATTAAAGCAGACTAAGCACCATAGTGTAACCACCCAGCCTCAAGACTCAACTCACAAGTACCATGTATTTTTCAAACCTGCTCACTTACTAGGCCAAAGACTTTATCTTTCCTTCGCAAATCATGTGCCCTCACACCAAAGATAGGGAGTAGTTGCACATACAATAAAATTCAAGAACAATACGAACTCAAGAGAGAAAGAATTCGCTCACTCTCGAAAATAAAATTCACGTTTCACAGAAGACGTACTATAGGCTTGCCCGTGGTGTAATACTCTACTAATTCGAGCTTATTCAGTTAAGAATCAAGTATGACTTAATTTGGTTGTAATGTAAGCTGCGGGACGAGTATGATACATATAAATAATAGTGACTACACCTCCTAAGCACTTTAATACATACAATTTGACCAGTTCAAGCCTCACACTTACGTTGAACAAAACTTTTTCAACCTTCACAACATACTTGAACAAATCTCTCAATTCGTTAAGCACAAACAAAGCAAGATTTACCACTAGTAATGTCACGATCCAAAATCTCTCACGTTGTGACGGTGCCTATCACAATACTAGGCAAGTCGACAATCGCCAATAACTACTCATTTTGAATTAAAACATAATGAAACATGTTTAATAGTGAAATTCTCATAAATAACCGCTTAGAAATATCGTGACTCAATACAAAATCCCCCAAAATTCGAGTGTCATC